TGCTGAAAAACTTTTAATTATTACTTAAGTAGCATTACTTATTATTCTGTTCAGGTTTTAGATTTTTTCATGGTTCAATCTTAGTAGGTTTTAGACTTCTAGGAATATATTCATCTCGCATAGGTTTTCCAATTTATTGGTATATAGTTACTCATTGTAGCCTCTGATGATCCTTTGAATTTCTGCAGTATTGGTGACTAAGTCACAAGTCAAAGTTCTTCTCACTCTTCTCCATCCCACAAACAGGTTATGGAAGAGTGGTAGTGGTCTCTCCTCATGATCACTACTACCCCAGGCCCATGACAAGCACTGCCATAATACCGGTGTTCACTCAGGGTCCAACAGCTCTTCAGTCAGCCTCTCGTGAATGCTGCCAGGCCTGGGACTCTCACTTCAGGACAGTGGGCTTGTCTCTGACTCAGGGCACATCCAGGAATATCATCCAAGAGCCAGGGCTTAGAATCGGGGACCCCCGAGAGTCCACTTGATGTTCTACCTGACTGTGGCCGAGCCTGGTACCTAAACTGCAAGACAAAGTTCCTTTTACTCTTCCTTCTCCTCTTCTCAGGCAGGAGTTTCTCCCTGTAGCCGGCACAGCTGGGAATGTGCTGAGTCATACCTGAAGCCAGCACATCTCAGAGTCTCACTGAAGGCTCATGGGCAAGTATTGCCTGAGTACTGCTGCTGATTATTCAAGGCCCAAGGGCTCTTTAGTCAGCTGGTAATTAATTCTGCCCAGGACTGCGTCCTTTTCTTCAAGGCAGTGGGTTCCCTTTGGTTGAAGGTATGTCTAGAAATGTTGTCTGGAAGTTAGGGCCTGGAATGGGAACTCAGGGCAGGACTCTGCCTGGTCCTCAGTTCTACTGTGGCTAAGCTGATATCCAAGTTGCAAAAAGTCCCCTTTACTCTCCCCTCTCCTCTCCTCAAGCAGAAGAAATGAGTTCTTTTTGAGCTGGGAGCTGTGCCTGCCTGGGTTTGGGGAAGGGGTGGCACAGGCACTCTCTTGGCCACCCTGTGGCATACACTAGATTGCATGCCCCGAAGTCCACGGACACCAAGCACTGCACAGCACCAGCACTTACCCAATAATTGCAGTCCCTGTGGGCTAAACTGCTTTTCAGGTTTATTAAGGACCCGAAAGCACTTTAGACCGTGGTGGTCAGGCTTGCCAGAACTTAAGTCTGACCACTGGGATGGGTGATTCCCCTTTGGCTGGGGTTGGTCTAAATGCTCCCTCCATATGTGGGCACTGGCTGAGCTCTGCTTGGTGTTGCTTTCTGCTGTGACAGGACAGCACTGAGTTTGTTCCAATGCAAAGTCCCACAATCACTGCACTCTCCTTCCTGCAAGTGCACACATTCTCTCTTTCTTGGTGCCATGCAGCTCTTGCTGTGGATTGGGGGAGGGGCAGCGTTGATGATTCAAGACTGTCTTTCCTACCCTTTTCAGCGCTTTTTCAGTGATCTGAAATTAAAAGCAGGTATTAGGATTGCTCATATGATTTTTAGCTCTTATGAAGGTGCTTTTTTGTGTGGAAATTTGTTCAGGTTGGTGTTCCTGCAGAAAGAACAGTTGGTGGAGGCTTCTATTTGGCCATCTTGCTCCATCTTTCCCACAAAAAATCATTTTAAAATTAAAAATAATGAACTCAGATATGAGTTTAATTAGTACTCCAGGTGTTTCTAAAACTGTACTTCACTTACAGAGCCCATTTTGAATGGATGCTTTTATTCTAGGGATCCTGAAGGCAAAGGTGAACATCAAACCTTGGTTTCTTCCAGTAAAAAACATTTGGGGACCATGGCAATATAGGACCATTAAGCAGAGAAATGGAATTGTGGACCAGGTAGAAAGATGAGGGCGTGGAAATGATTTTGACACATTGAGAGATGCTAGGTAGTCAGGAGCACTGACTCCACAAGGCATGTCAGGCTCTGGCAATTGTTTGGTTGTCCCATTTGGAAAGAAACTTAATCATTGTAATACATAGATGTTAAACTGCTTATCTAGAGAGATGAGGCCAAGAATGAAGGAGAAAGATGCTGATTAACAGGCAGAAGAATGCCAAAGTGAAATGGCTATTTCGCTTTTCAAGGACCACCTTTACCTTCAAGACAACATCCTACAAGTAAATACATAAATTCGCCGATGTTTCTGGGTTTTCAGCCCTTTAACTGTAATATTATTTTTAACAGAATGCTCACCTAGTCATTTCAAGTGCCACTCAGGACGGTGTGTTCTGGCTTCCAGAAGATGTGATGGCCAGGCCGACTGTGACGATGACAGTGATGAGGAAAACTGTGGTATGTATGTGCAATGGTACTTTTCTTGAATGTACAGTAATGACTAGAATAGAATAAGAAACTCTGTTAAAAATGTAAACTATTCACCGATAGTAGGACTAGGATTGAATGCTAATGCCTTTACTTCTTAAATTGTTGAACAGTATGGCATATATTTAAGTGTTTTTCCTAATTCTTGATTTCCTCTAAATTACACTTCCATATAATCCTGATATGTACAGTACCGTCCCCCTTATCCGTACAGATACGTTTCAAGACCCCCAGTGGATGCCTGAAACCATAGATTGTATGGAACTCCATATATGTAGTACTATCCTTTTTCCTACACATATGTACTTAATGATAGAGTTAAATGTATAAATTATGTGCAGTGAGAGATTAACAATAACTAATAATAAAATGGATCAATTATAACAATATATGGAAATAAAAGTAATGTGAATGTTGTTTCTCTCTCTCTCAAATACCTTATTGTACTGTGCCAACCTTTTTGAACCATGCTTAACCAGGGGTAACTGGAACTGTGGAAACTGAAACTGCAGATAGGGGTGGAGGGGGACTCCTATATTTGCAAACACTTAGTAAAAGGAGAAGCAACTCATAAATGTAAGGAATTATTTTTATTATTAAATTATAAGGCAATTGTTATCTGTTCTAAAGCCAAAATAGTAGTTCTTTTGCTTATGCTTCCCGTGTTACTAAATAGACATCTAGATACATGAAGACAGAGTTCAGACTCCAGCATTCTCAGTTTAATTGGAATTCATTCTTATGTCCTCTCATATATTTTCCATGTTGGCAAAGGATAAAACTCTTCTTGACATTTCTGCCATCGAGTTCCAAAATCACCAATGGAAAAACCATAAATTCCAATGGTAATTTGAGTGGAGTTCATTCTCATTTTATTTCCCTACAAATCTCTGTACTTGTATTAGGGAACAGATGTCAGACTATGGTCTTTAATACACAATATTTTAGAGGAAAGCAAAATGATTGAAGATCTATCCACAGAATGGTTTGGTTATGATTATTTAGCATTTCCTGTCTAAGAAGAATTGATACTGTTTCATGAAAACATATATGGCAGTAAAGCTTTTGAAATCATTTCATTCTTTTGGCCTTTGAAGTATGAAATATTGCCTTGCTCCATTAAGTGAATTTTCTGTGGTAAACATTGCCCTTCTGGTCTAGACAAAATGTCACAAGCAATCAACTGAAATCCTGTCAGCTCCTATAAATATGGACAAGTGCATCTTCTGGAAAACTCCAGCTGTCAGAATGATGGTACAATGGCTGGGTAATTTTGTTGTGGAGGAATGTACAGTGTTTTGAGAAGCTACTATTGTTTGCTTGTTTGTGGTTTTTTTTTTTAAGAAATAAATCAAAACTCATTGAATATCCCTTAATAAGTGGTTTATTGAGAATGTATTAGTTTTGTTCACTTAACTATGACTTTGATGGGTCATAGTATTTTGAGATGCAATTTAAAATAGATTATCTTAGATGGTTCAAAGAGGTTGCATGATACATTTTTGGGATGGCTAGACCTAAATTTGCAGTAGGGGACTAAATATTTGAGAAATACAAAAGCTTAGTTAAAAAACACACACACACACACACACACAGCCTTACCAAGACAAAAAATTCTAAGTTCTAGAATATATTCTCCAAAAAAGAAACTTTTTTTCCCCATTTATTTATTTTATTGCATTTTAGGTTTTGGGGTACATGTGAAGAACATGCAGGATTGTTGCATAGGTACACACGTGGCAGTGTGATTTGCTGCCTTCCTCCCCATCACCTACATCTGGCATTTCTCCCCTTGCTATCTCTCCCCAGCTTCCCACCCCCCACCGTCCCTCCCCTATTTCCCCCCAACTGACCCCAGTGTGTAGTGCTCCCCTCCCTGTGTCCATGTGCTCTCATTGTTCAACACCCGCCTATGAGTGAGAACATGCGGTGTTTGATCTTCTGCTCTTCTGTCAGTTTGCTGAGAATGAAGGTTTCCAGGTTCATCCATGTCTCTACAAAGGACCCAAACTCATCGTTTTTGATGGCTGCATAATATTCCACAGTGTATATGTGCCTCATTTTCCCTATCCAGTCTATCGTCGATGGGCATTTGGGTTGGTTCCAGGTATTTGCTATTGTAAACAGTGCTACAATGAACATTCGTGTGCACGTGTCCTTATAGTAGAACGATTTGTAATCCTTTGGATATATACCCAGTAATGGGATTGCTGGATCAAATGGAATTTCTATTTCTAGGTCATTGAGGAATCGCCACACTGTCTTCCACAATGGTTGAACTAATTTGCACTCCCACCAACAGTGCAAAAGTGTTCCTATTTCTCCACATCCTCTCCAGCATCTGTTGTCTCCAGATTTTTTAATTATTGCCATTCTAACTGGCGTGAGATGGTATCTCAATGTTGTTTTGATTTGCATTTCTCTGATGACCAGTGGTGATGAGCATTTTTTCATATGTTTGTTGGCTTCATGTCTGTCTTTCTTTGTAAAGTATCTTTTCATATCCTTTGCCCACTTTTGAATGGGCTTATTTGTTTTTTTCTTGTAAATCTGTTTTAGTTCTTTGTAAATTCTGGATAT